GCTACACATGGGAGTCAATCACTTCGGTAAGTATAGAGCTACACATGGGAGTCAATCACTTCGGTAAGTATGGGCTACATATGGGTGTCAATCACTTCGGTAAGTATAGGGCTACACATGGGAGTCAATCACTTCGGTAAGTATAGGGCTACACATGGGAGTCAATCACTTCGATAAGTATAGGGCTACACATGGGAGTCGATCACTTCGGTAAGTATAGAGCTACACATGGGAGTCAATCACTTCAGTAAGTATAGAGCAACACATGGGAGGCAATCACTTCGGTCAGTATAGAGCTACACATGGGAGTCAATCACTTTGGTAAGTATAGAGATACACATGGGAGTCGATCACTTCGGTAAGTATAGAGCTACACATGGGAGTCAATCACTTCGGTAAGTATAGGGCTACACATGGTAGTCAATCACTTCGGTCAGTATAGATCTACACATGGTAGTCAATCACTTCAGTAAGTATAGAGCAACACATGGGAGTCAATCACTTCGGTCAGTATAGAGCTACACATGGGAGTCAAACACTTCGGTAAGTATAGAGCTACACATGGGAGTCAATCACTTCGGTAAGTATTGGCTACATATGGGTGTCAATCACTTCGGTAAGTATAGAGCTACACATGGGAGTCAAACACTTCGGTGAGTATAGAGCTACACATGGGAGTCAATCACTTCGGTGAGTATATAGCTACACATGGGAGTCAATCACTTCGGTAATTATAGAGCTACACATGGGAGTCAGAGCTACACATGGGAGTCAATCACTTCGGTCAGTATAGGGCTACACATGGGAGTCAAACACTTCGGTAAGTATAGAGCTACACATGGGAGTTAATCACTTTGGTAAGTTTAGAGCTACACATGGGAGTCCATCACTTCGGTCAGTATAGAGCTACACATGGAAGTCAATCACTTCGGTAAGTATAGAGCTACACATGGTAGTCAATCACTTCGGTAAGTATAGAGCAACACATGGGAGTCAATCACTTTGGTAAGTATAGAGCTACACATGGGAGTTAATCACTTCGGGAAGTACAGAGCTACACATGGGAGTGAATCACTTTGGTAAGTATAGAGCTACACATGGGAGGTAATCACTTCGGTAAGTACAGAGCTACACATGGGCTACACATGGGAGTCAATCACTTTGGTAAGTATAGGGCTACACATGGGAGTCAATCACTTTGGTAAGTATAGAGCAACACATGGGAGTTAATCACTTCGGTAAGTATAGAGCTACACATAGGAGTTAATCACTTTGGTAAGTATAGAGCTACACATGGGAGTTAATCACTTCGGTAAGTACAGAGCTACACATGGGAGTTAATCACTTTGGTAAGTATAGAGCTACACATGGGAGTCCATCACTTCGGTCAGTATACTGAAACTTTAATTGTTGCATTGTTATTTTTTGTGTGGCAAAAGGCTGGGTACATTTTTTATTTTTAAATTAGCTAGAAAAAAAAGAAAAAAAGATACAATGGGACAGTGTTGGTATACCTGATCCTGAATCAATTTGCATATTTTTTATGAAAAAAATAAAGTGATGCTTTATTATTGTTCACATGCCTGGTACTCGTGATTTTGTTTTTGTTGCAGGAAGTTTCCTCCTAACACAACTTCTGCTGGACAAATTAAAAAAAAGTGCTCCTAGTCGGATAATCAATCTTACAAGTTTAAGTTATAAAACCTCAGATATCAATTTCGAAGACTTAAATTCGGACAATAGTTACAATAAAACTGAAGCATACAAACAGAGCAAGCTTGCATTGGTCCTAAGTACCAAGGAAATAGCTGAAAGACTTGAAGGTAAGACTGATACACGTAAGATTGGAAAGTGCTGTTATTAAACTCAGTGCTCCTCACATTCATGTTTTGATTATTATTCAGTTTTGCTGGAGTTTCAAATAACCTTACCAGTATCCAGTTCTGCTGGACTTTCAATTGCCCACCTTCTATGTCGTTTTTACAAGCTGATCAGAAAAGTGTGTACTTTTTCCTCCTAATGATTCTGTGTTTATAAATACAGTAGAACCTCAGTGTAATGCTCCTTGTCTCATTTACCACCTCCATCACTACCAAATTACTGGGTACAGGCACATTCCTGCTGCAGTTTAATTTTCGCCTTTTTCGTCCTCCATAACACGAGTGAATTTATCATCACAGCAAACATTAGTAAACAGCATAAAAAACATACAACTAAATGTAAAGACAAAATTAACACTGGTCGAAAACTGATTTCATGGGTGAAGGGCAAAAGTTTGACCCACTAAAAGGTCCTCATATTTTTTAGAATTCCTTTATGAAATTCCCTCAATTTATTGTCAAACCCCTTTATAATGCCAAAATGTCTCTGTGAAAATGTTGGCAGTATAACAAGGTTTTACTGTATGTGTATCAACCTCTTCAAATGATTGTATTATTATGAACAGGCACTGGAGTGACTGCCAACCTGGTGTACCCAGGAATCGTAGAAACTGGTATCAGCAGACACACAGGATTTCAGAAATCCTACTTGTCCTGGTTTGTCATCGGCCCTTGGGCATGGCTAGTCAAAAAATCGCCAGAGCAGGGTGCCCAGACTGTAATTTATGCTGCCGTAGAACCCAGCATTGAAAAAGTCAATGGCAAAATCTTCATGTAAGTATTTGTATGAATTTTGAAACTGTAACATTGTTTTGAGTCATATTGAATAATTCAGGTTAACAAGAGTAATGCAGGATGGAACAAGGTATGTCTGTACCATGCCAAACTGATAAATTTAAAATCCTTATGATGCATTATTTTATCTAAATTAAAAAAAAATATGGAAATGTGAGAAGAAGAAAGAATATTTGTACTGTTCCTCAGTAAAGTTGAGAACTGTTCCTAGCATTTGGTGAAAGGAGAAAGCATGCTGTACTTGATCAACTGAGGCTGAAAGGAATAGATCTATAAATATATCCTTTATTACGGTTGAAACAATAGGATTTGCAACGGAATTGCTTCCCTTTGTCCATGTTTCAAATCAAGAATTTTCCAATTTAATATCAATTCATCTTACATAATTAAAACCAAAGATATATCTGATTTCTCATTAATTATTTGCAATCAGAATCTTGTCTTATTTGACCAAGTTATTGTGCAGAAACCGTCGACCGATTAGATTGCATTGTGCCACTAAATTACACACAGATTAAGCTTAGTCTTTGCCATTGTATTATATAAATATATTGGCCAAGTTTCATCTGAATCTTACCCTTATTTTTATTGTTCAATTGAATAATCTTTCAGCTAACATTTAACTTGAAATGATTGATTCAAATACACGATTTCATGGTCTTCAGCAAAAGCCTGTTATTAGTTTTGAAAACGGTCAGTATAGACTAAACTCATCCTGAGTTATTTGAAGCAAAAATGTGAAAAATAAAGTTAACGCATACACCAAATTTGATTTACACACTTGTGTTATCCATGTTTATGGTAAACTTATGTCTTGTTATTTGTTTCAAGTGATCTGGGAGAACAGGAAATCCCCTACCTGCGTGAGAAAGATCTGGCAGATTCCAAACGATTGTATGCTATCAGCCAAAGATGGACACGGCTTACGTGACGACGTAGGATCTAGGTACATGTATTAATTACCCAGCTGTCCTAACATTGACTTGGGTGTTTTATCTTTCATGAAAGATTCTGTGTCATCTTCGTTTGGCTGCACTAAAATCCGACAGCTTCAATATGAAGCACACACTCTGATGAACATTTTTGCTGGCTAAGACTTAGATCAGAAATCCACAACTATCCGTAAATTACAGACAAACCTCCAACAGAAATATTAAATATTTTTACGCTATATTTTCATTATCAACAGATTAATTTCGTCATAAGTGATTGTTGCACGAAACTCTGACAGCTTCAATATGAAGGACAATTTCTGATGATTATTTCTCCGGCTAAGACTTGGATTACAAACAGAACTCCAATTGAAATATTAAGGATTTTACACTACATGTAATTTATCATTACCAACAGGAAAAAAAATCATCAAAAGTGATAGTTTTCATTGTTAAGTGTGAAAGTTTATGTTTTCTCTTGGAGACTATCCAATGTTTGATGGCTTATTACGATTTACAAATACAATCAAATGAGTTCATTCTCATATAAAATTCAATGCTTTTAGTAAGACATTATTAGTCATTACAGGGGGGAACTGATAACAAATCTAAATATTGATGTATATAATGATGATGTGTCCCCATGAGATGATATTTCATTGTGAAATAACTCAAATCTTACTTTGATTGGCAGAGAGCTATACTATCTGTTAATTGTTTGGAAGTATAGGCATAACAGTCAAACCTGTTCATTAAGGCCACCTACAGGAGGGGAAAATGGTGTTGATAGACCTGTGGTCTTTGTAGACAGGTGGTGTTTACTGACAGTTCATCATTATAGACTATAATTATATAAGTTGAGGTTTTTATATACTGTTTTATCACAATCTAGGCTGTAGGTTGTCTCAAAAGCTGTTCACAAATTATTATCCATGGTTATTGGGCCTTTGCAATAAGCCAATACCTTTCTTAACTCCATGGGGAGCATACAGCCAGTGCTGCCATTTTGGCGCTCACAGCTAGGATTCAACAATTCCAGCACTGCCCAACCACACACTCATTTACAGCTGAGTAGACTGGAACAAGTGGAGTAAAGTATCTTGTTCAAAGAAACAACACAGTGCTGTGCCCTGACTCGAACCCGCAACCCTTCGGTCACGAGCCTGGCATCCTACCACTAGACTACCGTGCCTTCTGGACATGTGGTCTATATGTAAAAGTGTATAAAGGTTGATACACCGGTATTTCAAATCCAAAATTGTATATACTACAATACAAAAGAAATTACAGTAATTGTACATTTTATCAAATCTGAATGTGATTACAAGACTATAAAGCCAGTGCTACTTTTTCCTTGAGAAAATATGTGTCTGTATGTGTGTGCATGGTATTAAGAAACAATGAATAATACACAACTTGAAATAAATATGTTTGTTTTTCTTTTGCATTCGTGTTTCTTTTTTAGCCATAAAACTTTTATAATTTCAATGATCAATTATGCTTCCGGAATTTATCCATATAAGAAATCTGATTCTCAAATCCCATGTTAGATATTGTTTACGGTAGACTTTTAAAATTTGGCGAGAGCCTTTACTCTATAAAACGCACTATAAGTGTACAGCAGGTATAGTATCAGTTGTGGTACTCTATTTTCTCTTTCGTGTGTATCATAAGATGCCGCCGTAAAAATTATTTAGATGAATATGCTTACTTTGTTGATTATCTTCTATTGAAAAATCATGTGTTACATTTATTTCAAAATATTATCACGTCTCGACATAAAGGTATGTACAGTAGCAAGGGTAACACAAATCATACATAATAGCCCCAACAACATCACTGTAGGAGTCGTTTTTAGCTCACCTGACACAAAGTGCCAGTTGAGCTTATGGTATGGTGTGTTGTCTGTCGTCCGTCAACGTTTTGTTTGAACAACTTCTTCTTAAGAACTGGAAGACATAGGCCCATGATATTTGGCCAGTAGGTACCTGGGATCGAGTGTTTCCCCAAATAAATAACCTTGACGTTCTTTCAAGGTCACAGGGGTCAAATATGTAAAACCCTTCAAACAACTTCTTCTGAATAACCAGGAGGCCCAGTGTAATAATACTTGGCCAGTAGGTAACTGGCATGAAGTGCTATAAAGTTTCCTCAAATATATTACCTTGACCTACTTCAAAGAACACAAGGGTCAAATGTGTTGAAAACATTTAAACATCTTCTGAATAACCAGGTGGCCTAGAGTAATGATACTTTGCTAGTAGGTACCTTGCATGAAGTGCTATAAAGGTTCCTCAAATAAATTACCTTGACCTACTTTAAAGACCACAAGGGTCAAATGATTTATAAACCTTTAAACATCTTTTGAATAACCAAGAGGCCAAGAGCAATGATATTTGGCCAGTAGCAGTTTGTTATAAACTTTCCGTAAATAAATGACATTGACCTACTTTCAAGGTCACAGGGGTCAAATATGTAAAACATATTGACAATTTCTTTAGAATAACCAGGAGGCCCAGAGTACTGATACTTGGCCAGTAGGTACCTGGGACAGTGCTAAAATAATTCCCCAAATACATTGACCTATTTTCATCGTCACAGTGGTCAAATAGGTAAATATCTTTAAAGAACTTCTTCCTCAATACCAAGAGTCCCTGTGTGATGATATTTGACCAGTATCATGCTGGGATAGAGTAGTTTAACGTTTTATTTAGTCTGGAACATTCTTAAGCCAAGGAGACTCAATATATGGAAATAATTATTAAGAATATTTCCCAATGATTACTCAAATATCCAGGTGATACAGGCCCTCTGGGCCTCTTGTTATGGTATGCAGTACATATCTACAAAATCTTATGAAATATTGATGGATATTGACCTTCGTGTGTTTGTGCAGTTTAGGCTTTATGGAGTCCGTTGTGTAATATTAAGGTAAACTTTATCCCCTCAATAGGTAAGAATTTGTGACCTTGAATTTAACATTCGACTTTCAACTGTTATAGAGCGATAGACATCAGGAATAATTAATTGAAGTTTAATAAAAATTGGTTGGAAATTTTAGTCGGAAATGCATGAACAAGCCAATGTTCCCGTCATCATATAAAGATTCTGCATCGACAGAACATTTGACATCGACCTTCATCTGGCCATGGGCTAATTGTGTGAAGTTTCATGAAATGTACCTGCTGCCTAGAATAGGAAAGTTTCACTCTCGAGGTTTTCAAACAGGTGCAAAACCCCTTGATTTTACCCAATTTGACAACCCCTCTGTGGAATTTCTCTATCCTACAACCCCGGGCATGAAAGAGTCTTATAATCTAGAGACGATACTAACACCTCGATTCTGCTCTGCTCAAAAGTATGATACAGTGCGACGCAACAAAATGACCGAATTCCACGTTAAACCGCAAAGTGTCCCACTAAGACACCAGTACAAGATACCATCCTGATTCTAACGACCTGTATGTAGTGTGGAAATGGATAACAACGGAAAGAAGAAAACTATGGAGGCAAGTGAATGATGTGGTGCAAACGGAAATACTGAAAACTGACAGACATTTGCTCCCTCAACGACCGTCATCCGAGGACTCTTATCCGACCCAAACGAAATAAACAAGTTAACATTATAATAAGTAAACTACAGGGACAAGAACAAGATCGACCAGATGACAATGAGCAGTAAATTGAGATGCTCGATATACCAACAAGGTTGGACGCTGTGCAGAGTATTGAAAATATCGTCTGCTATCTTGTGGAAGCCAGAGTTAAGATTAAAACACGGCAATAATTTTTAGAAAAATCACCACAAACAGTAGGGATACAATGTTCAAAATAACATCAAATAACTGTTCAATGACAGTTTAATGAGGAAATAAAGTTTTGCGAAATGAAAGATAAAAAGGGAAATTTTAAGAAAGAAAACAAGAAACAAAAAGAGTGAATATCAGACAAAACCTTTTCCAACAGAGAGAAATTGAAGGCGATTAAGAGCAAGATGAACATCAATGTAATGTTAGTACTTTATAAAAATATTCGGCACCACATGACCGTACGTTGATAGTAAAGTTAGGGCGATCAACGAAGTTAATGTAGAGGAACTTTCTGACGAAGCAACAAATAGATGTGAAGAGGACAGTATACATAATTGCAAAACAGCTCTGTATGCTACTGTTGGACAAGAATAATGGAACACTAACATCAGAGACAAATTAGAAAGATTAGCAGAACAGATGACATGACCCCGGGATTTAATGTATTAGAACCATCACATAGAAGATTAAAACAGAGATATAGAAAGGCAGGCGGCATTGGCGATATAAGAGTGAAACAAAAAACCTAAACTATATTATTTTTTCCAGTGACAGAGGAGGCGATGATAGCGACAGTTCCTTAGAAGGAGACTGAAAGAGACTTGAAACAACTGGAGAGGAATATCGTTTTTATATGTACCAAGCAAAGTGTTCCTGAAAATTTTATGTCAAAGAATAACAAAAGCATCTGATAGCAAACTTGGAGGGAACCCACTCAACTTTGCCGCTTTGATAGCCGACAGCGTCAACAAAGAATGCATGAAGGTTCATTTTCCATTTAACGATAACCACCTGATGGAAATTTAAAAGAAATTGTTAATATGACTAAAAATAAGCAGTGCTAAATAATAACCAATTGTCTGAACGATTCTCAGTGAAATCCGGAGAGAGATAAGATGGGTTCGCCTCTTCTCTTCTTAATGGTAGTTGTCTGGTGTATGAGATAAGGGAACACGTGTACAAGATAGACCATTAACTCGATAATGGACTTTGTTGATAACATTCGTCTCTGATGAGCCGTTGCAACATGAAGAAATTGCAGTAAGCGAAAACGAAATATCAATATCAAGTAAATGCGATCAGTCTGAAAATGAAAAGAAAAATACATGTCCTTAATTCAAATCAGCAACTCTCCAATTAGGGCCCGTGGCGTCCTGCTGGGTGTCTTCGGCAGTATGTCTCAGTGAGGTAGCACTATAAAGTCGGCATCAGTTCCGCACTATCACAAGGAGACAAACACGAACATATCGCAGCCTCCCAAAATACACACACATACACTACACGCATGCATCTTGCACACAGGGGAGGCCGTCCTTAAATGACCTTAGCTGTTAATAGGACGTTAAACAAATCAAGCCCGGAGGAGCAGGAGGACAGTCTCGCACAACTGGGAATGATACTTGGTAAAGACAGTGGTACCAGTAAGGAGATGAGTAAGTGTTGACGAGCTTGAAGAGGAGAGATAGGTAGATACTGTAAAAGTACTAATATATATCGTTGAGACTCCGGTATAGACTAACTTCAGGCCAAATAAAAATGTTGTTTGTTTCCGGTTACCTGATCTACCCTTATTCTTTGCGCATACCCAAGACTTCTTTTTGGACAATTCAACGAGGCACTTTTGAGGACAAGATAACTCATCTGCTAAGGCTAAATCTCTCGTCTGACATCTGGTGTTGTCGGCCCTTGGTGGACTCCGTTGCTGCATACCGGAAATGTTGCATATGGTGTCTGTCCCTGTGTCTGGTGTGAGAGTGTAGGTAGTCGACGTCTTCAGATGGTCACCAACCGTAGCTGGACATTTCGACCTTTCAAAACCATGACATCCTACAGTTGGCGGGTCCACAGTGGTGATGTGCTCACTGTGTGTCATTGTGCGACCCCACTCCGTGTTCTCTCGTTGGTGCTATATCAAGCATGATACTCTCTCGGCTTGCTCCCCCAAGACCCTGACTGCCTTCTGTCGGTCTTTGCCGCGTACCCCCAGTGCGTGGAACGTCTTCCACCACAGACTATAGACTGGGAATACACGTCAAACCACTTCTATCGGGAATAGGCAGGTCTTCCATTCTTGTGACTGGCAGGTCTCCTTAAGCTCCCGATTCGCTTTTTTCTCTCATGGGCCTCATCGC